GACGATTCAAGGCCCATTAAAAAATATACCCACTTATCACGGCGTAATCTGTACCGACCCAATGCTTTGTTGGCCACTTGAAGACTATTTTTAACTTCATTAAAATTCATTGAGTAATTCTGCGTCTTTAATCCCACGTCAATTATTGCATTTTCAAATTCGGATTTAAAATTGTAATGAACTCTTCCCAATGTTTTGAACATAGTATTAAGAAGACTTTCAGTTCCTGGTCTTACAATGTAGTCGTTTTGTCTCCAATTATTGAATTCAGTTTGGATACTATTTGGAAGGACATCTGTAACTTCTGGAAGTTTCTTTAAAGCATCGCGCAGCGCGAGTACATCTTGATCCTGAGTGAGACCAGTCAATGAATCTAAAATTTCATTAGCGGTAGTGGCAAAATCTGGACAGAATGAGAACGCAGGTTCCAGTCTAGAGATCCAATTGCTTCCATGAGAGTTCCAATGAAAAAACAAAATTACTTGCTGATAAGTAGTTTGACCCATAGCCTCTTTGATGAAAACCTAATGGTAAAAAAATGAGGTAAAATAAAACAAACTATAAATTTGAATTCATATTTTTTTTGTACAATTAATTTGTGATTTAATTCATATGAAGTTTTTATATATTGAGTCGTCAATACTTACACCATCAAAGGCCAAAAATGAGAAAAGTGTCAAAAATAAAAATTGCTTCATTTTTTCAGTTAACGACGTATCAGAACAGAAGTTGAAATGTTACTGGAAATATGCAGCGATGCGACAGTATTTATACAATTTTTAGAAACAAAATATGTAAAAGTACACGTGTATCATTTCAAACGTTACTTGTTCACGTCGAACGTCTTCACTTATTAGAGAAAAATAAAATCGTTTGCATATTTTAGTATTGGTTGACGTCAATTTCTAAATATCGTAATTTTATGAATCCAGAAAAAGTAATTATTTCTCACGTTATGAAACAAATTTTAATCAAAGTCAAATTAGGTACAATTTACGGTTAAACTTAGGGCTGTCATTTCCAACGTCACCAATTAAAGATAAAATAGATGTAATCTATATATTATAATATATTGTAACGAAGGATATCAAAAAGTACCACTCACTTACATTTAAATAAATTCTGATCTTAGTTGTAAAACTATAGTTACTATGAGTCTTTTCATGTGTCTTTTTTCAGAATCGATATACCTTGCATAATATTACCAATAAATGAAATCATTAAAATAAATTAAATGTTCAAACTTAACAATTTTTTTTATTTAAATTTGAATGAATTTGTCATTTTCTACCACAATATTGATAGGAATAGAAAGTAAGGAAGTAGAACTCGTCACTACTCTAAATAAAATTATAGAATATATTCATCTCATCACGTCTCATTTTAGTTCTTGACATTTCATATCGATTCCATTGAATATCGAATTAGCCGGACATTTATGTCGGCATGGTCTCAATATGCCTTTTGATATGCTCTTCACAACGCATTGAACATAGTGGGTGTCACTGCTAAAATCGATGAATATACCAACAGTCGAACATTCAAACCATTCTGAATGATTTTCCGATGACGCCCATTCGTCTGATACTAATTTGCAAAATCCTAATTGTTCATCAAATTCCCGTCCCTTTTCACATTCACCGCGTCGAATTTCATATACATATGGATCGGAATTTTTGTTCAAATTACACTCGAAAAATGAATACCTATCATCTGGATTGGCTAACACTTGTTTGTCATACGTGCAGTTGGGTGCTGATGCACACACAGAATAATTTTCAACACAACGTTTGGTTTCCGGATGAAATACTTTTGGACAAGAGAATATTGCATGGTTATTTAACGTATCCCAGCAATAATAGTATTTTGCACAGCTATCCGGATATGGGAATCGCCCTACAGATGTGCAACTAAATTTGGGAACGGATGCTGATGTGCTCGTAGTTTCAGCTTGAATTGTCGTTGTAGTTGGTTCGGTGGTTTCACTTGGGTCTGTTGAATCTACATCTGAAGTTTGAACTGTTTCGCTGGTATCATCATTTCTTTCAATTGCTCCTTCAATCGGTGAACCGCCTACAATCGGTGAACCACGCGCAACTGTGTAAACCACACACTGGAAATATATAAAAATGTCACACAAATTAAACAATTAACAACAGTTAGAAAAGGAGTAAGAGAACGAAATGCACTAACCAAAATAGGAACGAGTAAAATTTTAAACTGCATTTTATAGCTTATTTCAATATGCTATGCTCTTAAAAGTTCAGCTGCAACTAGAATGTCATGATCCACATTGAAAGCTATATATACCTTAAAATATGGCTTTATCTTTGAATTCAGGTGGTTTTTAATAGTTATTTGAGCATTGGAATGCAAAATAAAGAAAATTGAATGCAAAGCTAATTAACTAAAACACAATTAAACAAATATTTGCTGAATAGAGTCCATGAGAAAATAGCAATTGTCGATGAAATTGTTTCCTTATTACGAATCAAAGATAAAGACATCTGGGTTCTGTTCAAAATGGTCAACATATGAAATATCAAAATATTACTAATTCAAGGGTCAAATTTAAAATAAGAAATAAACCATGATTTCTTTTTGTTTGGAATTGCATCCGAGTCTTTGTGTGAGTAATAGACTTTATTGATATTGTTTAAAACATTCATTGAATATTGGAACTAACAGATGTGTTTATAAATTAAACATGGTCATGATTTCTATTACTTTTAAACAATAAAAAAAATACTTGGAAATCTTTTGCATGATATCACGTTATATTTATTTTCACATAAACTGACAAGAGTTTTGTTCATTCAATTAACATGTGCCATTCATGTGAACATTCAAAAAGAATACTTACAATCTAGGGGGTAACCGCGCTTTTAAATATATAGAAATATGAACAAATTCAGGAGATTTCAACAAATTCAAGAGCTATCGAGAGATATGAACGCAAATTTACATTTTTGGGAGATATTGTCAGATATTCTGATCTAAAAATAATTCTGGATGTGGGCTTTGGTGGATCTTTAGGATCATCAGAACCGCTCCCAGTTCTAGAAGTGGGTTTTGGTGGATCCTCAGGATGGACCAGACTATGGTTTGATAATGCCCTGGTCCATCCTGAGAGTCCAATTCCAGAACTGGGAGCGTTCTGATGATCCTGAGGATCCACCAAAACCAACTTCCAGAATTAAATACTTTGAGATATTTGAGTTTTAATCAGACTTTAAGAATAAAGTTAAATGTTGGTGGATAAAAAAGCGTGGTTATCCCCTAGCTTACGATTTACATATATTACGATTGTTTCTTATTCAGAAATAAATATGGTAATTATTTTAAAAATTACAGCTTTGCATGCACTAGATGCCGATGCATCAGATTCTATTCCAATTATGGATTCTGTTCTCAGTATTTGAAAGAATAATTTCTTTCTTTATTTATAAAACGGGTTATATTGTACATTTAACAGCCTAATGGCCAATTACAAAATGTATTGTGGCGAATATATGGAAACAGTTTAAAAATTTAAAATTTATAATAGAAGAGAGAGTGCTTAATTTTATTTAACCTTTTTTTTTTTACGTAGGTTGCTCCATAATTTTTTTTAAAATGGTACTTATAGTGTTGCCCGATGTAAACCATTGTCATATTCGTAAAGTTTGATGTTTTGGTATGTATTCGTGCCCTGAACCTTTTGTCGTACGAACGCTATTTGTATTGTTTACAGTGACTGGTAAACTGCGACTCAACAAAAAAATGAATTTTACACGTGAAGATTTTCGTAAAATGATTTACTACGATTTTCGAAGTAAATTATCTCAACAACAGTGTTTCGATCGACTTCATTTGGCCTTTGGCAATGAAGCACCAACCCTTCAGACAATTTATAACTGGTACCGAGAATTCCGTTGCGGTCGTAGTTCGCTCAAAGACGAGTTTCATACAGGTCGTCCAAAATCGGCTGTTGTGCCACAAAACATCGATGCTGTCAGAAAACTGATTATGGAAGATCGTCATGTGACCTACCGTGAGATTGAGGCATCTTTGGGCATTTCATCCCACAGCATACATACAATTTTGCATGAACATTTAGCCGTAAAAAAGATTTGCTCTCGTTGGATCCCACATAAATTGACCGATGAACAAAAAATGGCTCGTGTGAGTTGGTGTAAAGAAATGCTCAAGAAATTCAATCGTGGTGCTTCAAAAGACGTTAATAAAATCGTCACTGGTGACGAATCGTGGATATATGCCTATGAGCCCGAAACGAAACAGCAGTCGACTGTATGGGTCTTCCAAAATGAAGATAACCCAACGAAAGTTGTTCGAGCAAGAAGCACTTCGAAGCGAATGGTCGCCTGTTTTTTCGGGAGAAGTGGTCATGTGGCAACCGTTCCACTAGAGGATCGTAAGACCGTCAATTCTGATTGGTATACCACCATTTGTTTGCCCGAAGTGTTTGGTGAAATAAGAAAAAACAACCACCGTCGCAAAATAATTCTTCATCACGATAATGCGAGCTCTCACACATCTTTTCAAACTACTCGATTTTTGACCGGTCAAAACATCGAACTGATGGGTCATCCACCGTACAGTCCTGACCTGGCACCCAATGACTTTTTTTTGTTCCCAAGCGTGAAGAAAAAACTACGTGGTCAACGATTTTCGACACCAGAAGAAGCAGTTGAAGCGTTCAAAACACACGTTTTGGAGATATCAGTTTCGGAGTGGCACGAATGCTATGACAAATGGTTTCATCGAATGCAAAAGTGTATCGATCATCTCGGGGAATATTTTGAAAAACAATAAAACCATTTTCGACAAAAAACAACTGTGTTATATATGTTTTTAAAAAAAATTATGGAGCAACCCTCGTAGTTATTAATTTCTACCAATTAGTATTGCTTTCCACGGAATAAATATTAATGCTCCTAGAACACCCTCGCTTCAATTACAATATTGGATATGACTTTATGGCTAAATGATGGAAATATGGAGCGCTACCACGCATGTCTCCCACCGATCGATAACCACTAGACAAGAAGATAATTTGTATAATGTTGCGTCTGTTCAATTGTGTGAACCGCGTATCGTTTATACGCTCTGAAATCTGGCTCTTGCATATCAAGATCATAAAAAAGCTCCATATGTTGACGATGCATACGAAGGGCAGGGCTATAAAATTTGACAGAATTTGTCGTGAGATTACGGGGAGATGAAAAATTCTATTAAATCTTGTTATTAATATAATATTCAGATATGATCCCATTTTACCATTGACATTTCTTTTTTCGATTTATCATAGATTCAGAAGTTATGTTAAGGAACTTCAATTTTGATGAAAAATGTGTGAAAATAGTAAATTGTGGTTTAAAACATAAACTTAAAAACTAATCTCAATTTTTTAATAAAAAATATTATGAAATAATCAGTATTTTGAGTCATTATAATGGATCGATTTTTATAAATAATATTGATGTTGATTATTATGTAAATTGCTACGTTAACTACGGCGAGTAAGATCATCGAGCAATTCACGGGATGGACGACGACGACCATTCGAATTGCGGCGTACTGATGTTTCGTTACTTTTACGGCGAGTATGCTCACGAGAATTACGCCGAGTAAGACCATCAACCATATCACGGGACGGGCGACGACGATCATTCGAATTGCGTCGTGTTGATGTTTCGTTACTTTTACGGCGAGTATGCTCACGAGAATTATGCCGAGTAAGACCATCAACCATTTCACGGGATGGACGACGATCATTAGCAGTGCGTCGTCCTGATGTTTCTTGTGGTCGTTTGATTGCTTTACGGCCGGAAAGGCTTGATCGACGTTGTTGACCCAAAGCCACCGCACCAACACTTGAAAAACAGAACTTCCATTAGAATACACAATTGAATAGAATGTAAAAATATCTTACTTCATGTTTACTGAGTGTTCAACAGTTGAATCTAACACATTTAAGCTGTGAAAATAAATGATATAACCATTGAACGATGTGTGAAAGAATGGATTTAGTATATGTAATTCTACTAATAATTACCCTGTAGCGTCAGCATTGTATGGTGTTGAAGAAACAGTCTGCGCAGGACGAGGTCTGAAAGTGAATGAAAATTGATCATATTTTCATGCAAAATTAATGTAATGTCAAAATTACCGGCGACTTGCTTCACTCATTTGCGCGGCGTTCATTTGTTTCAATTCTTTTGTATCCATGGCGACTAGCGTCTCAATTCCATCCTCTGACATGACGTTCAACATCAGATCACGGTAATATTCGTATTCTCCCTCTTTATACGTTGATTTTTCCTCTTCTAGCAATTTTTCATAGTGCATAATTTGACCTTCCCATTTGGCGAGCTCCCGTTTATAATTTTCGACCTCATCATCCTAACGGAATAAAATGTGATTAAATTTTCGTTTTAACATTTGACATTGAACAAATCTTAAAAATTAAACAAACTGTACCATTCGTTTCAATTCTGCCACTTGTTCACGGTCTTGAATCTCATAATCAGCACACGCTTTATCCAATTCATCAAATAATATATCTGGATTTATGAATAAATCGCGTTTGTCTTGTGGCATCTGAAATATTAACGATAAACAAAAAAGAATAATGTTTGTTTGATTATTTGATTGAAAAAAATAAATGGATCTCATTGTTTTCAAAAGTATTTTACGTTTTCGTTGATAGGTACCGCGCTGACCACTCTTTTGCATTGTAGACACTGTATTTTTCTTGGATTTTCAGTTGAACGTACTGAAATGTTGGTAAAAAATATAGTATTAGAGGGTAGTTTATCAATTTCTTTGTTCGTATATCAAGTTTTAAATTAATTACACTGATTGGCGCATTTCAAGCAAATCACCATGTCATCACATGACGTCAAAATGAACTTCTTTTCTTCGGAAAACGGTGCTAAACACATGTTGCAATGAATCCACTTAAAACCGGCGGAAAATGAGGATTGCACTGAATTTGTTGTTGTTGTCATTCTCGTACCAAACTGAATTCTTCTTTATCTAAACTCAAAATTTACTAAAACGTTGAAAAAATCGTAATATGAAACTCCGAAAAACAAAATTCTTAAACTCAATCTCAAAAGCACGTCTGATGTCTGTAAGCGCTGTCAACGACGTCACCATACTTACTCATCACTGTTATAAACACAGTCAAACCTTGCAAAGTGCATTCACGCACACAATCAATGAATATGAACCCGTTCACGTTATCAAAACGAACGCTACTTTCTGTCCAAAATCAAACCATTCATGTTAAAGAAAATTCTCGCTCCAATTATGCAAAAAAGGGAAAAAACTGTTGTTTATTTGACATTTTTTGTTATAATATGAACTATAAGTAGTTTTGATTACAAATTATGGGTTTTTGGATTATATATTTAAATCCTTTGAGGTAAATTCTTATTCGGCACCGTTTTGCACATTGTAGAAATGTGAATGCGTGAGATTTGAATTGAATTTGTGTAAATCATGGGCGATTGTAGAATGTGCTCGAAGTGATGTTCGATTGGGATCCCATTTTGAGAGCCACCGATCGGCGTGATTGTCGTTTTACACGAGTTGTACCCGATGATGCGGTTTGAACTGACTGGTCATCGAAGTTCAGCGTGGACAGTGATCCAGCCCGATGTTCACTTGCAACCGTTGACGCCTTATCCATTTCCGATGTACTGTGATCAATCTTTGATTCGTCCACCTGAAATAAAACGAAACGATTTTGCCATTTGTGTTTCAGATAAATAGATGCGATTCTCTAGAGAGTTTTGTTGAAAACACATACATTTACCGAAACGTCCGATTCCAATGACAGAGCTGATGAGGAAATATCCGCATTATTAGGTAAATGCTGACCACGTACTAATTTAATTTCGAGCGGCTGGCAAAAATGGTCTGCCAATTGGAATGCCCAACGTCGACACCGGCTAAGCGCGCAATGACGTGTTGCGTCTTTTTCCTCGTGAAACTTTTGAAAGAAAAAAGGTAAACAATACATGAAAAAAAAATCCTATTTTCTCCACCAAACTGGTAAATTAACTGTTTCTCTATTCCGCTATAACTTACCCCGCAACTGATGCCACCAATTGATTCATACGGATCACGTGACAGTAAGATATTCGTGAAATTTTCATTTGGAATAGCTTCGGTTTTACCGCGTGCAGCCAGTTCTTTGCGCAGAACATAGAAGAGACGTGTCAATGGATACACATCAATGTTATGTTGTTCACGTTCGTCAGCGAATTGTTTGAGAAAATCCTTCAAAACGTCAACTTGATTTTCTTCATTTGTGTATGGATCGTGGTAGGTGAAAATCATTTGATTTCCACCATCAAATGTTTGTACACCATCCTCTTTCATGAACTTTTTGATGTTGAACATTACGCGCTGGTAATTGGTTTCACCAAAGTCATTTGGCGGTGGTGGTATTTGGTGCGTTTCTTCACTATGTGCTTTTGCAGTGTACGCATAACCAATTTCAACATGTTCTATTTGAAATGGAACAAACAAAAAATATTCACAATCCGTTGAAAATGACTGAAAAAATGATAATCACTGAAATATACTCACCCGGATTGATGAAAGCACAATGACGTTTCAATACACCATCACCTGTGATGCGTGATGAAAAAATTAATAATGAAAAAAAAAAACAACAACAAAAAATAATTTTTTTCTTTCGTAAATTTCCATGATTCAAAAAATGTATTTATTGTGAAATAATTTGACTTGTACTCACGGAACGTAAACTTGATCAATCCAATTTCAGCTGGGCTGTAATGGCCTTCGCTGTGCTTGTAGAAATAGTTGCCATACATAAAGTAGAATGGGTACGTAGTAAAATCTAATAATAATACAAATCGCTCAATAAAAGTAAAAAAAATGAAAAGGATTTTTTCGGGTTACGGTACCTGTCATAAGATCCATTCTTTGAACCATGCTACCAATACGACGACGCATGTTTTCCAATTCCATTTGCTTTTCGCGTTCTACTTGCTCGTACACAATTACAGGAACACCATGTGATGTCAGCAATGATGACGAATCGCTGGTTTTCGTGTTGTTGTTATTACGGCGTGGAATTTTCATATCACCACCCTTGGCTTTTTGTTTGTAATATGCCTTCTCGTCCTCAGACATCGCCTGTGTTAAAAAATTTACAAAATCGAAAAATACCAACAAAAAATTAAATCAGCCTTGATACAGCTCATTCTTTTCAAAGGATCTTTTTTTTAAATTCCATGATTTAAAAAATTCATTTGTCATGAGATAATTGATTTGACTCCCACTTACATTCCAAGATGTCGACGCCATTTGCGACACTTCTGGCTGTGAAATAAAAAAAGGGTTTCTATGAATTTGCACTACTTGGCTTGTCAAATTTTGTTCACTCTTGAGATTTTCTTGGAAATTTCATAATATTGACATTTCAATGCCATAATTTGAAGTTTTTGTGTCGTTTCACTTCAAAAACTCAAATTATGGATACAGATACACTACAGAGGCAGACATTATCTTCAAATTATATTTATGGAATTGTAAAAAAAAATCTCAAAAATGAACAAAATCCGACAATCTGAATGTGCACCAAACATGCTGTAAAAAGTCTCAGCACATTGTGTCACGTAGACTAACACATTGAATTCATTGACAAAAAAATCCAATCTACAAAATTACATTTTTTTACAATTATTTTGTTGTTTAAAATGTTTACTTTGGTAAAATTGGGCAGAAAAAATGGAATTTACTTACTAAAGTGAGTTGTCGGCCGCATCTTTGCTCCTGATCCCGTTTGAAATCGAGCATATACAAATAATATGGTCCAGCTTTCGGCATTTTTCTACACTTGTTGAGTGTTGAATGATTCGTCACAAAATGAATGTTCCAGACGGTTGTGCACAATTTAAAGCGAATATCAAATTACAATGAGTGAGTTTGGCGTCACTTTTCTATCGTCTCGTTTACTCTATTGATGCAAAATATGCTGATTTGCAAATCGTCTCTTTTCACTGCGAACACGTAGTGTGTGTCAGTTTGGTTAAAGCAACGGTATTATTAGTTGACAACATTTACTTTAAGTACCGATCGAATGTAAACACGCTACTTCAATATTTTTCTTATTATTTTCACGAATTAATGCAAAAATATATGTCTGATCACTGTAATCAATAGATTTCATTTGTTTCAAGTAAATAAGAATTGTTTCACAAAGAATGTCGGTGCAGAAACAGCTGACCTAATCAGATTCAATATGAATATGAAACTTTTTCTCTTCTCCATAGAATCGCTAGATGTCACTATTGGTTTCCAATCAAATTTATGAATTCCAATGAAATCGATCAACTTCATTCATTTCCAATAATATTTCGTTTGACAACAGAAAGTGAACACAACCCAATACATTAGGTTTTAATTATAAATTTCAAATCTAACGATTTATTTGTCGCTCAAATTTTATTTTATAATTTATAATTGATTCTTTATTGCTGTTTCATTTGATTTGTGATGAAAGTTTTTGATCTTATTGAAAAGAAAAAGACATTACAACGAGTCGTTTTCTACGACGATTGCCGACGATGAAATAGAAGCAGATAATTTCGTTGAAATGAAATGTGGACTATATTGTCAAATGCGAATATTGTATGCGCACACAAAACCAACACACCATATCCCATACCGACAGAGTTTCGGTTTGTGGTCGAAAACTTCAGTGATGAACAGTTTCAATGGCCAGGCCACGAACAGTTGGCGAATTTTTACAAACAACACATCACAATTACGCAAATCAATCTCAAGACTTGGTGTGAAAAACGACTTGAGGCATTGAAAAATGGTAATGTTTTAGCTACATCATGATCATGAGCACTTAAAACTTGGCCGTTCAGTGGTTAAAATGGAAGATGAATGAGGAACATCACAAAAATGCGCGAATTTCCAAGAACGGCTTGCAGTAAACACAATAGATTTAAAGCGTGCAACGGTTGCAAAGCGAAACCGATTGCTGCAAAATCCATTATGCTCAATGGATTCATACCAATTGAAAATAGAGTTTATTCATTAATATTTTGCTTTTAATTACAAAGAACTTTGTCGGATGTTTGGCATACTAGTGTCGGATTCATTGAGTGATCTAAAACAAATATTATAATGATTTGTTAGTTGCTCGGCTCGATAAATTTTTTTGGCGCAGGGAAGGAGCCCGTGGGTGAGTACTGAGCATAAATCGAGTTCATTGAATAGTCTATTGATGTTGATTCATAGTCTTTCTCTTATTTTTTTTTCATTGCAATTTTGACTGAAACTACACATAAATCTGGCCTCAAATTTAACCGTGAATTTCTGCCTTGTAATGGCTGAATTTGCATTACAAAATGTTCCTATAGATGGCACTATGCGCACTAAATAGGTTTCGTTCCATTTGTTGCACATTTTATGGCTGTATTCTGTTCTATTACTGCATCGATGATATTTCGCACTTGTCAACGTGAAAAATGTCAAACTGTGCATTCGTCAACATTCCATTATACACACAAAACATATTGTAATTTAGTTCATTAAATAATTTCTGTAGATTTATTTTCGAGAAAAAATGGCAACTATCGATGAAAAACAAGTGAAATCGAGAGATACTCTCATAAGTCAGCAATTGGAAGATAAGGAAATTCAAGAGATTTTGAAAAGTGGCACCGATTTACGCCAATATTCACAACAAATTGAAAAAGATCTGAAGGCTGTCGAAAATCAATCGATTGAAGAATACATTAAAGAAAGCCAAAATATTGCATGCCTACACAATCAAATTGGTGATTGCGATTCGATTTTGGAGCGAATGGAATCGATGCTTACCAATTTTCAGGTACAATTCAATTCAAAGTCAGTTTTTTTTTTCATCGCATTTGGTATAATTTCTGAGATTTTTTTTCCTTTCAAACTATGTGCAGAGCATTTTGAGTAACATAAGTACGGAGATAACAACATTGCAGAAAAAATCGGTATCGATGTCTGTACAATTGACAAATCGTCAGAGTGTGCGAGCGCAACTATCACAGTTCATTGAGGATATGGCCATTCCAGAAGATATGATTAGGTTTGCTTTTTCTTCAACCACTTTTCATTCGGATATCAAGACATTTTTCCTTCTTTTTTTGTATAGTGTCATAATGCAAACGGCTGTTACCGAAAAAGATTTCAGTACACAGTTAAGTAATCTCAATCACAAATTGAATCTTGTCAAAGAGCTACAGTTCAAAGATGCCAAGTCATCGGAGGATGTTAAAGATGTTTTGGAAAAGCTAAAAATCAAAGCAATGTCGAAAATACGTCAATATTTGCTAGAACAGATTTATAAATTCCGTAAACCAATGACCAACTACCAAATTCCACAGAATGCAATGCTGAAGAACAAATTCTTTTTTGAGTTTATTCTATGCAATGAACGACAAGTTGGTCAGGAGATTTGCAACGAATATGTAGATACAATGAGCAAAATTTATTACAGCTATTTTAAGGTAAAATGTGGTTATTTGTCTTAAAAATTTCCGTTCTAATTTTAAATTGATTCCACTTCTTTTTATAAATTCAGAGTTATTCATCACGTTTGGCATCATTGAAGTTTGAAGACCCAGTGACAAAAGACAATTTAATGGGACATGAAGACACTAACACCAAACAGAGTCTATTCTCCAAAGCGACTTCATTGCGCAACAAAGGCACAACATTCACAATTGGTAATCGTGGTGAAATTTTAAGCCAGCAGCTTGAAGCACCGATCTTAGTTCCACATGCACAACAGAAAATTCAATATCCGTACGAAGCTCTGTTTCGTTCCGAGCAGTACGCATTGGTTGATAATGCATGCAGAGAATATCTATTTGGCACTGAATTTTTCATGGTACGCGGCAGTCAGGCACAAGATTTATTCAATCAAATTATGGGCAAAACATTGACATTGTTAATTGTAAGCATAGTATACCCTGAACCTTACTAGTTTGCACTTGCATTTGGTATTGCACCAATTCTAATTCGTCAAATCGAAATTTTCTTTTAGAAAAATGTCGAAACTTACATTCAAGATTGTTATGATAGCATCGCAATGTTTCTGTGCATTCAGTTGATTTTACGGTTTCAAATTTTATGCCATAAACGATGCGTTCCGGCCTTGGATAAGTAAGTTTTAACGAAATGTTAGTTGAAGTTAGTCCAAGCAGTAATTTCATTTGTATGTGATTTGTAGGTACTGGGACTCATTGCAAGCTGCGATTTGGCCGCGATTTGAGCTGATCTTTCGAATGAACATTCAGAGTGTGCGTGATTGTGATCCGAATAAATTCAACAAAAGTCTTGCCCCGCACTATGTAAGCGATGATTGATCACATTTGATTGGGATTTTTGTGCATTTCAAATTACTATTTTTTCACATTTCAGATAACGCGTCGCTATGCTGAATTCAGTGCGGCTATCGTTGGAATATCAGAACAATTCCCAAATGAGCTCGTAAGCCGTCTTTTGCTTGATCTTCAGAATGAAGTTGAATGTTTCATCATGAAAATGGCTGGCATTTTTACGTCAAGAAAGGAGCAATTGATATTTTTGATCAATAACTATGATATGATTTTGAATGTATTGCTAGAACATACACGTGATAATTCGAAAGAGGCAGAGACATTCCGCCATCACCTTACGACACGAAGTACAGAATATGTTGAAGAAATATTGGCGCCGCACTTTGGTGGAATTATGATGTTTGTGAAAGATATGGAGCATCAAATTGAGAAAAATCCGTCCGGCAATGTAACTTATAATGAACATCATGCATTACAATTGGTAACCAAATTTTCGGCCAATTGGAAGAAAGCGATCGAAGATATAAATCGTGAAATCACAGTATCATTTCAGTCGTATGTCACCGGTTCCACGTTGCTACAGTTAGCATTGGCCAGTTTAGTGCAATATTATCATCGATTTCATAAGCTTCTCAATCCAAATGAACGTATGCAATTAACTAATATTCATCTCATCACAGTGGAAATTAAGAAAATTAACAAACTATCCGGATTCACAAACTAAAGTAATGTTCAGTCTGTACATAAAATATTCACATTAATTTAAAATAAAAATATTTAACAGAAAAAAAGAGCACATTTTCAAGTTAAGTTTACAAAAACTATATGGTTGCTTTTATTATGTTGTTATATTTGAATTGGAATGAAAAACTAATTCAAAGACATCTTAAGTCATATATATTGTGATGCGCTCAATGTTTCAATGAGTTCTTTGATGTGGCGTCGTTTCTCGTCACAGTCGATGGTAACATTTTCGATGGCGGAGCTGCTTGGTGTTTCTTGAAAATTTTCTAAATTGTCCAAAAGAAATTTTTCGGCAAATTCCAATAAGAACAAACCACAATCAAATTCGTTGTCTTGTTGCAAAATTGGTACAATATCGATTGACAAAACATCAACATCAACGGATTTACCGGATTCAATCATAACTTGCTCCTGAACGAATGACAATAGCTTTTTCATCAAGTCTTTTCGTTGTCGTTTGAGAAAATCAATGGAGGAATCGAGAACGATAATGCGTGGACGTTCTTTCGGATCGTTGTTGTTGTCAACGAGATTTCGTGGATAGCACAAGATGATTAAAAACCAATGCTGCTTCGCATTCACCGGAATCAGCACGAAATCTTTGTTCAGAATATGTATTTGTGGCAATTCCAAGTTTTCGTTGTCCTCTTGCAACATCTTGAGGTGAAAAAAGCTGGTACAAATCTCCACTTTTTTGCGTTGTTCATTTGACAATTTTGCGTCGTACAAATATTTCAAGTAAAAGTCCAGGATTGCATTGTTCAGCAAACCTTCGGAATCAAGCGTGTCCATGTCAAAAGGAAATATTTGAACGCCGTTATATTCCAGGATTGGATCCATTTTGACTGACTGACTTGCAAAAAAAAATCCAAAATAAACTTAAATTATGGTTTAATTTGTTTGATTTAGCAAGACTGCGGCATCAACAATAAACGGTATATCGGTTGACGTTTCAAATGTCAACTGAGAGAATTTGACGTTTCAAATAAATAACAGAGTAGATGAATTTAAATTTATAATCTACTTTTTTTCATGGTGTGATTGATATAAACATTTAAAATAATTGCTATTTTCGAAAACATTTTGTACAAATAAAATTACATTGAAGATTTATTTATTTTTCTTTTTCTTTTTGTCAGCATCTGGAATATTGCCCAGAGATCTTTGGTAATCCATAATTAGTTGTTCTTGTAGGTCTGCCGTACATGGTGCATAACGTGCATATTCCATGCTAAATTCACCTTTGCCTTGAGTTTGAGAGCTGCAATGAAAAGGGTGAAAAAATGAAGAAAATTTCAAAATGTACCGAATGAAGTAAAAGTAAGACTCACCGTAATTCAGAAGCATAGCCAAACATTCTGTTTAAGGGGACTTCGGCATTGACTGTAAACCAGCCTTCGGTTTGTTCACGGCTGGTCATGATTCCACTGCGTTTCGAAATGCCGCTCAATACTGTGCCTTGGAACTCAACCGGTGCCACAATTTCCACATTCATAATTGGCTCAATAATACGCCACTTGCCAAAATCAAAAACATCACGTACAGCACCTTGGGCCGCAAGATAGAATGCAAATTCAGATGAATCAACAATATGATGTGCACCGTCAATCAATGTAAACTCAATGCCAGCAATTTTATTTCCAGTTAGAAGACCCTTTTCGCACATATCCAAAAATCCGCGTTTAACGCCTGGCACAAATTGCTTCGGTACATTTGTACCCACAGTTTTATCCGAAAATTTAAGTTGTGTATTCTCATGTGGGTCCAATGGTACGATAGCTCCAGTTACACGAGCATACTGCCCTTGACCACCACTCTGTTTCTTATGCAAATAATCAAAGTTGCATGGTTCCATAAGGGTTTCTCTGAAGGCAACCTATTTCAAATTAAAACCGATCATTCATTTTGAACTTATTTGTTAATTTTCAATACGCACCTTTGGTTTGCCCAATGTTACGGCACAATTGTATTCACGTTCCATTCGTTGGGCATAGATTTCCAGATGCAACTCTCCCATGCCGCTTACAATTGATTCTCTGCTCTCGGGATTGTAATAATATTGGAATGTTGGATCTTCACGTGTAAATCGATCAATGGCTTTTCCAAAACGTTCACGATCTTTTTGCTCTTTGGGTGAAATAGACATAGAAACCACCGGTTCTGGCACAAACATAGACTCCATTGAGATATCCAACTTTTGGTCGCAAACAAAGGTGTCCCCGCTAGCGCAATCCACCCCAAACATTGCAAAGATATCACCGGCCTAATATTCCAACAAGACATTGTCAATTAATTTGCACAACAAAAATAAATAAATAAATGAAAATCATTTTCATTACTTACATGCACTTCTTCAACATCCTCCATTTGACTTGAATGCATTCGTACCAATCGTCCAGCTTTTATCTTTCGTTTGCTGCGTGTATTATAAATGTTATCCTTCTTTTTCAATGTTCCTTGGTAGCATCTCATATAAGTAAGTTGTCCAAAACGTCCAGCTTCAAGCTTAAATGCCAATCCCACGAACGGCTTTTCATCAGAGCGTGCAGGATCAAGCATTATTTTTTGCGTTTCACTGCCTTCTTTTTCGACCAAAGCAATATTTGATACCTCTCCAGGATGTGGCAAATACTCAACAACAGCATCGAGTAGTGGTTGAACACCTTTATTTTTCAACGCTGTTCCAACCATGACCGGTGTGAATTTTCGTTTCAAACACGATCTTCGAATGGCCGCCTTAATATCTGGAATAGTGATAGTTTTCTCTTCCAGAAACATATCGCCTAAAACTTCATCGACATTCGCCAATATTTCAATGAGTTCGGCGCGTTTTGTTTTGCATTCATCTTTCATGTCATCCGGAATTTCGTCTTTTCGAATATCTAAACCGCATTCACCTTCGAAATACAAGGCTTTTTCTTCAATCAAATCAATAATTCCCTTGCAATCTTTCTCCAAACCAATTGGCAATTGAATAAACGCAGCGTTATGGCCAAGTTTGGATCGCAATTGATGGACCACACGAAATGGGTCGGCGCTCAATCGATCAAGTTTATTGATAAAAGCAAGACATGGAACATCGTATCGTTTCATTTGACGATTGACAGTTAGTGTTTGTGATTGAACACCACCCACGGCACATAACACCAAAATAGCACCATCAAGTACACGCAACGCACGTTCAACTTCAACAGTAAAATCGACGTGACCCGGTGTATCAATGATATTGATGTTAATATCCTTCCAATCTGTGTAAGTGGCAGCTGATTGAATGGTGATTCCTCTTTGTCGCTCTAATTCCATTGAATCCATTAGAGCACCGACATTATCCTTGCCTTTGACTTCATGCATCTGGGCGATTCGTCCAGTATAGAAGAGAATACGTTCGGTCAATGTCGTTTTTCCGGAATCAATATGCGCCGAAATACCAATGTTTCGAATTTTCTCCAACGGTTTAACCGCACCAGATGAATATCTCTACGGAATTAATAAAATTTCATTTAAAAAAAAATTAATTTCATGAACATCAATGTAAATTGCATAAGCAAAATATTCCATGTGATCACATAACCGCACAAAATCTAAAACCTACTCTCATCTGGGTGTTTATTACACCGAACGACCTCAAGCCGCCTTGACGCAATGCAAAATTGATCAAAGTCATTTTGATGGAGGGCCAATAAAAATATTTCAACACTTTTTTAATAAATTCAATTGAGAAATATTTTCTGTTTTGATTTTGAAATTTCAATTTCTAGGCTAACATCATTCGAATGTTCAACACACACACTACATGTGAATCCAATAAAGACAGCTGTCAAAAAAAATTGTTCATTTGCAGAATGACAGCTAAAAATGGCTGCGTACTTTATTCAAGTTGGAAATCGGTGAGACACGCACGACGACCAAAATAACATCGAGTTTATTATTTGAATCTGTGTGCGACGGAATGTACAATTGTTTCACATTTTCGGTAAGTATCACCTAATATTTCTATAGAAATAAGATTTGTTTGTTTAGGCATGAAAATCGAAAGAATTTTCAAATAAAAAATGATTTTGTAATTGTGTCATCAATACACTTTCTAATTGCTGAGACTATGCCAATCCCTCTCTCACTCATTTATTGCCACAGTGGAATACAGAGCGTTTTGTTTGCATAGAAACACATATAATTGAGCTGATTGAAAGAGAAAAGAATTTCGTGTCGTGAGACCGTCGCAATTGTGTGTAAAAAAATCATATGTGTCAGAGAGCGTGTACACACATGAAAGTTGAGAGCAAACTATTAGCAACTGAATGAATATGTGTTGATGTGTGAATGTATCATCCAGTGAAGCTGAAAATTTTGTGTTTGTCATATTTATTAAAATAAATATCTCAGAAGGTAACATACAGTTTTTTCATCTACTTTTTGTTGATTTTTTTCTTTGGCTAACAATTTCCGTCATTTATTTGCAATTATTTCGGTCAATTTAATTAGTCACATAATCATCGAGAGAAATATATCTATAATTATTATTGCTAAATAAACTTTTGTGTGGTGAACGAGAGTGAGAGAGAAATTGTGCTAGTGCAATATGAGTTTTCTAGCTGCCTCGTTGAGACTAAGAGTAAAAAAAAGAATTGCGTTTAATGTGCGTCTTTCCTTGTAATTGTTTAATTGAATTGAAAGCAACTTAAAATGTCGAATGAAGCGATAAATCAACTAGTACAAAAAGTTTTATTACTTTTTTGTGTGAACACTCATTTTTTTTCTCATACTTTCTAGGTTGAAGTGATTAAACACCTTATTTGTAATTGTATTGTTTTTTCAACAGTCCATTGTTTCATATATAAATATTATAAATATGTTCGTTTCCTCATAACAATGCTCATTTTATAAAATATCGTCGTAAATTGTTTTTTTTTTTTCTTCAATTCAAATCACGTATCGATTTCGTGTGTTCACTGTGTACCTATATTTCTATACTATATATGTGCATTTGTATGGCATCTCAGTGTGACTTCGCTTATGGTTTTTTTGTGCCTCTTTTACGTTGCGGAAAAGTCAAGTGCAAACGACATGTTTTGTGTTCGGAAAATAGCGCGTTCTATAGTCGCAACGGCACTTTGATGATTTTGCATTCTTATCTGTCGAGAATCGACCAAATGTTTTTAATAACTTTCTATTTTGCATTGGCAATAAGCAACGTGACCAATTTTACTGTTGAATCAACAGCATTGATCTAAAGCGCTGATAACGGATTTCCGTGTAAACAATCTTAGCGAATTGTTTCCAAATATTTGATCTTACAATGAATCATTTTTGTGTTTGAATTTTGTTTCTAAAATGTGAACATTCTTCTTGTATTTCAGGGGGAGGTGCGCGAATTCCATCACAATATAAAGAACGACAAAATAAATTAATTTTTTTTTTCATCACACATCGTATGCATTACACTCGAACTGCGAATAACAAAAGACTGATTTTTGATTTGAAAGCAGGAACATTAGTGTGACAACTAAAGATTTGGACGTGTGGCAGAAAGTTGCATTTGGTTTTTTTTTATACAAGCAAGCAAGCAGGAAAAATGTCGCAAGTCAGCCGATCATTGAAAAATTTGGAGGCACCGCGACCATTGAAATCGAGCAGTGCCAATCGGCAAACACATCACGCTACACCAGCATACGAATTGCAAACGAGTATGTGCGCCATTTATTTTGTTTTATGAAAATATACTTTAATGTGGTGAATGTCATAATTTGTATCGATTACAGTCGAGGAACTAATAACATTAGTGGAAAATGTTGCCGATTCAGTTTCCATCGGTCAATGCAATCCCGACAGCATGTCGTTATTGCTAACGAATTTACGCATCCTTGGGCCCAATTTGGAAGAATATTCAAAATCGACACTGGACCAAGGTATAATTCAATTTGTGAAAGGACAAATATTTTTCACTTTAATTTTTGTTGTGAAAATCATAATGGATAATCGATTCTTTCCCCGTTTCTCTTATATTTCAGCGTATGTGAAATTTCGTAATGCATCACAGGATGAGCGTTTGAGCATAATAACGCGAATGAATTTGTTGGAATTGATTGAATTGCGCGCTAAAAATTGGCATGTAACAGACGGTCTCAACACATACTACAAACAACACAAGGTGTCCGATGTTCAGGTAAACGACACACATTGAATCCGAATAATAACCAATCGAAATTGAATATTATTGATTTAACAGTCAGAGAACATAGCTGCGGCACCCATGTTGCAAGACATTTCCCTGTTAGACACCTCCCCCTCGTCTGTGTTGACACAAAATGTATTGAATCCGGGCGAAGTGATTCGAACATCGGGCAAATTTGTAAAACCGACCAAAATTCCCGGTAAAAATTACTCCAAAGACGAAGTAGTCATTCGAAATGCTGACTCTGGTAAGGGTGAGTATCACAAATTGGCATTGCCTGTGTTTCTATTCCAAACACATAGTGAAGTGATTGTGTAAATTGTTCAAATAGAAATAAGAAAAACACCACATAGGATTTTAAGTGGGGATATTTATTCGGTGAAAAAAAAAACATTGCTAGTGAGATGTGATTATGTTCATTCAAATTATAAATATTCACAATGTTTTTCTCGTTCTATTTTTTTGTTGTCTTTTTTTGTCATCAATCGTCGTCAAAAGTGATGGGAATTAAAGGTAGACGCGTCCACATGATCGAAGAATTAAGTGAAACGATTATTTCTTTTCAAAGAGGTAAAAGAGCCTAACCCAAATGACACACATACACACAAGAAAATCAAATAGAAAAATTTCTTTTTAATTAACCGACATTCTTTAAATAAAACTGTTCTTTTTTTGGAATGCGCCTGCTCGAAATAAAATCAGATCGTAATAATTACTTAATTTGCCGCTTTTTTCAGTTGAAACTTGTTCAATCTAAAATCGCATTGTGTTTCAGTACGAATGTGTAATTTTTACTGCTAGTGAGTTCGTAATGTCATCCGTTGACTTTAATTCAGCACTTTAACATCATTTATCGTCTATGTATTCGTTTTTTGTTCTTATTTTTGTCGATTGAATGCTATTTGACCTATGTGTATTTGTATTGGTTCGGACGCATCTTATACAAATCACACCACGCACTCATCTACTGACATCGCATAGCATGTTCATATCTATTGCAACAAACGACCGCAAAGCATTGTATCTTTTGTTCATAGCATCATTGTAATATTGTCTTAATTTATTTATTTATTTATTTTTAATTCAATTATCTGACATTATTAATTTTAACAAATTCGGTGAAATGACTGCCTACGGCTATACTTTAGAGCTTCCGTCTTTTGACAATTTTGGTATAATTTTTTATTGCATTTTTTTTTCTTATAATTTTGGGTTATTGTGTGCCATATTTTTTTCATACGGGTTTGTGCATGAATACATTTTACTTGCCTTGCTTATGTCATCCTAACCTCAAACAATACCCGAAATAATTTGCAAACAGACGACTAATCATGTGTTTCTTCTACAACATATAAATATTCACAGTTAATCCAGGTGCCAAAGAACGATTGGTTCAAATAACAGGACCAAATGAAGAAAAAATCAAGTATGTCTAAATTGTGATTTCATTGAAACTGTCTTTTTTTCCTCGGTAAGAGTATAGAAATTGAAATCGTCTTTTACTTTCAGTTATGCAAAGCATTTGATTGAAGACACAATTCGCCGAAATGCATCGCCAGTTCGTTTGGAAGAAATGGCCGGTGTTGCTGGTTCATGCAGTTCATTGACGTCGTCCAATTCTGATGAAACACACACACGCATTAATCGCAACTCTACGTTGCCTTCGGCCAATAATTTTGGCCATCAAAAAGGTCGTGGTGCAAGCGCTTTGTTGCATAGTCTGTCTACAAATGACGCATCGCTTGGCGAGTACAAATTCACGGTCAATGTTGGACAACACAGCATCAAAATAACTGGTGATTGTATCGATTTGGTTCGAGTGAGTATTTTGTAACTTCGATGTAACGACTTTCGACCTATTTTGATAAATAATTGCTTTTCACTTGAACGGAAAATTACAGACTTCAAAATTGGTTCTCGATGAATACTTCGCCAACAGTGAATTCATATCAGGTGTTGAGGCTGGAGCCGAATTCGGTTTAGTGAATTCATCGTCAAGCGCTTCAGTGACAACACCGACCACAGCTATTCCTCTGTCACATCAACTCAACTCGACATCACCTTTCGTTGATAGCGGTGTTGATTTGAATCAATACAGCAATTACAATCAAAGCATTGACAACGAAGATGAAGTGTTCATAGTGGAAAATAGCGGTAAGCTTCTTTTTTTTTGAGGAGAAAACAAATGTTTTCATCATAAATTTATGAAAAATTATTTAAATTTTTTTTACAGATGGAAATCAAAGTATTGCAGACGCAACGAAGGCATCAACCGTCCCAACAAATGGTTTAACACGGTCGCGTCGTAGTCATTTTTCGTTGGCCGACACAAAAGTGGATTCGGTGAAAGAGAATGCAAGCAAAAATAAGTCGGATGTCCATGTATCGTATGATAATGAACGTTTGAAGATGATGGCTAAGTACCATCATTCGCGTCAATTACCCAATGGCTGGTCGAAAATCTGCGAACTCTATCCAAACATTGTACGCAACAAGGTACGTGACTCTGATGACAAGAACAACAACGATTTGAATCAGAACAACGTCATTAATAACAATTATAACAAGTTTCATGCAAAGTCTAACCACTCAGGCAATAACGCTATGCGACGAAGCCTCTCGGTAACCCAGTAGATCTTCTTTTTTTTATTAGTATTATTGAGATATTTTGTTCAGATATTGAATGTCTCGACAGTGTTTGAAACACATTCCTCAAATGAAAAAAAAAACGAATCATCGCAACGCGAATTAAATGTCATACACTTTTTTTAATGACTAACAAAAAACATGATAAAACCAAATTTAAAAAACCAACTGATAAGAATAACATATTCTAATTACGAAATGATCGAATTTGATAAAATGAAATGCAATGAAAATTTCACACACATGAATGTTTATTGAAGAGAATCATTGTTTTCTCGGCGAATTATGAAATATAAGCTTAAAAATAAAAAGCAAATTAAAAAACAAAAACAAAATGAGATAAAATCAAATATTTTTCACATCAAGCAATGGACTTGCTTTGAAAGCAAACAGACATTTTTGATAGCCTTTCACTATTCCTGCATTAAATCCAAATATTAACTATTTTATTCAAAGTCAAAAAAATTCGAGTTGAGTCAGGTTGTCTGCTCCCGAATTTCCTTACGAACTGTGATAAAGTGAGAAAAAAGAAAACAATTTTCCGAATACTTTTTGGCCTTTAAAAAAGAAATCATTTTGAAACTCAACATTTTTGGCATTTTTTCTACAAAATTGATATTAACTACTTTCAAAATTGAATTGAATCATTAAAATTATTACAGCAACGAAATTATTTTAAAAAAATTAAAGGAATTTTTTTTTCGAGTTCTTAATTGAGTATTAAGCAATTATTACTATTAACTAAATTTGTTTTTTTTTTTATTTATTATATTATTTTTTTGTTATTGATTTGAATTGAATAAAGCAATGTCCTTCATAGAATTAGCTAAGCGGAAGGTAGCTTCGTTCAATTAACCTACTAATTTATTTCTAAACAAATATTTCGAAATGAAAGTAAAACGAAAAATCATCCAAAAATTTCAAAAAATCTAACCAAAAATTATTTATTTCTGAAAAATGTGTTTTTCATTATTTCAACGAGTATACACATCACTAACATTGATATCGTTGTAATTAACGAAAATAAAACCAAACAAAAAAAAATCAAAATAAAAAAAACATCTTTACGATTGTAAAATCGATAAAACCCAAAAAAAACTAATGCTTGTGTTTTGCCTTTATTTACTCCTGTCATGCATTTTAACAAAAAAATCTAACGCTAGCATTGCATTGGTAAGTATGTGACTTTGGGAATGCCATTTTCTAAGTTAGCTTTTTTGCTGTCTGCAGTTTTGCAACTCACTTCTCGGCATATTTTATTCTAAAGTACCAAAGGGGAAAAAGAAGAATCTCTATGAAGTAGCAAAATTCTCTATTCTATGTGCCACTTTATTTTACAGAACCCAGAAGACGCAGATAAATTCTTTGACCCAGATACGTACGTGCGTAGTTCATTTGAATTGACAACGATCAAACAAAATTCCCCACAACTAGATGACAAACATTCAGAGCCTCTGTCCGATAGTGATTGATTCGCATTTGGACACATAACATTTGATTTTATTTCCGACCTCCAATACCAGGAACGATAAAAAATATTAATTTTATCATTGAATAACGAAAATTTCGTACCGTCAGATTTTATTTTTGGGGAAAAAAGAAACATTTCAACGCTATAAACAAACAATACAGTAGATAAATTTATTTTTGTATGAAAACCTCAAAATCATGGATGCAAGTAAAATAAAATCAATCTCAATTGAAAAACATACGAAAAGGGAAAAAATTACTCACGATTTTTTTCTAAATAAAATTATAATTACTGTAAAGATTAACATTTTAAAATGGAAAATAAATTCTGAAAATTAAATGTATCTGTTTGTTTTTTATTGACACTTTTTGCGTGCTCAAACAAAGTTATTTTTCTCAATCAAAAATCTTCATTTTTGAATAACACCGACCGTCTCCATATCCGAGTTATTTTGGTGAGTTCAACACACCGTCGTTGAATATGTGTATTTCGCCAAATGGGAGTGCTTGATATCTTGATATTATAGCGTCTGTATCAATAAACTGTTGGGCTGAAAGTTCCGGAAGTGTTAAAAATGTAAAAGATGAAAATGGAATGGCTGCCGACTGAATTGGAAGTTTTTCATCATCGGAATAATGAATGAGTGCCGGTGTAATTTGATCAAATACTTTTTGAGTAGGTAGAATTGGACTGTTCTCGGTTGTTTTTACGGGTGTTTCCAATGGTTTTTCGGTTACCGTTTCTGGTTTACTTTCTTTTGACACTTTATTCGAAGCTTCTTCGGGTTTTGATGTACTTTCCGTGGCCTTATTTCTGAATTTGAATTCATACGACTCATGATTTGAAGTAATTTTGTGGACTCCATTTTCAATTTCATATCGAATTAAATTGTCATCGGTAAAATGGTGAGGAACGCCTGGTGGACGTGTTGTTACCGGTATACGAAGTGTCGGAGTTACTGCTGAATCCACTAGCGGTGAAATTGTTGAAACTACCTCAGGAACCTCGGTTGATGGAGCAATTGTTGTCGATGAGGCGCCAGCAGAAAGGGGTTTCCATCCAAACGAATACAAAAAATTACTGAATGGCGAAGTTGGCAAATTTAACCCATAACTTGGATTGAATGATGAAAATGGTGCAAATCCCAAACCAAATGGATTTTGATTCGATGGATCCGAAAATATAAAAGTTCCAGATGACAATGATGGGATGATGGCTTGAGATGATAATCCCAATAGTGCTGATAATAATAACTGAAAATAAAAAATAGTAATTTTCCACTCTTGTATAAAAATTCAGTAAAAATAAAAATTGTATATTTACCAAATGAAATTGCATTTTGAACCGTTCAAATCAAAAATTCGATTGAAATTGATGGAATCGGATGATTGACTGCACATTTACATGTTGGTTTTTGTTATAATGTCATAAAAATTATTAATAAACCAGTTTGTACTTGACCGTTGTAGTAATAGCAATTACTAGTTTTGGGCAAATTGAGAAAACTAGTTCATAACCAAACCGCTACTTTCCATTAATATTTGTATTGGCCACAATTTCCAAGAATACTATTGACAATTCACATTCACAATTGGCCATCACAATTCATGTTATTTTCGGAAATTAATTGAATTTGACGTAGAATTGATTTGGTTAATTTTTACCATGAATTCACCGCAGGCATGTTAAATTACATTCACATGTTCACATGGAGTTTCAAACAAGTTACCTTCATATTAATTTATAAGGTTAAGTATTGGAATCGATCGAAAAATTAACACCCATCAAAAAATGTGTTTTCTGGGTGTTTTTGGGGCCAAAGAACACGAATCTAGCGGTTTTTCGAAGTCCGAATGTATGTGCGTACCCTGTACGCTGTACGCAAAAATTTGTTAACACGATAACTTTCAAACAAGAAAAGTGATTCAAAATCTGACTTCACAGGATGTCCTTAATTCTTGGAAAATGCTGAAATATCAGAATAAACTGTCTGTAGGTCTATTTAATGGAAAAAAATGTTTCTATTTTATGGAAATCATGCAAAAAAAATTAAATAAAATTTCTTTGCAGCGGCCAAACCTTTTCCCATTCAAAATTCAATCCATTTACAAAAAAGATCGGAAACAATTATATCTCGTACACGTGCACAATACCATCAAACGAAATCGTTCAACATCAAAGCATTTCTATTGAAAGGTAAATAAAAAAGCTGAAAATTGATATTAATATTTTTATCTTGCCAATATTTCAAATCTTTTTTTTTCTCTTGTTTCTGTTGCCAATTAACACGGAAAACGTAAAATTCTTCTCTGATATTGTTTATTTTCGAAATCGTTTGAACAAGAAAACAAATTGAAAGTACTATTTACTGCGAGACTGAATGGCTAGCAAAATCTACAAGTATTCATATGTGATGATTATACTTTTCAACGAAGACCAGAGAAAATAAAATTCTATCGTCATCTTTGAGTATAATATCTATATGTTGTGTATTTGATCCCTAATAAATTTTTATGTTCTACATTTTTTTCCTGTGAAAAAATTCGTCAACATCATTCTTCAACTATGAGTTGTTTTTTTTTTTTTCTCAAATTTCTTGGAAAAATGAACCTACGTTTTCTAATGTTGACTTTTAGGCACGGAACATTGTAAATGTGTCACAAATCATCGAAAATAATAATAAAGCATACGGTGTGATACATAAGCATTATGGTGTGAATGTATCTTTCATCACGGCGGATGCCCTATCACATCGAATACACACGCATATCCAACTCGCTCGAAAATTTTCCCAACCATAATATAATTTAATTACGTTGTGATTCTTTTTCGATTTGATTGGTTTAGTGTGGGGAGACTCATAAGAATCGAAAGTGTGCCTATAAATGTTGTTGATGTTGGTGGTGGTGCTGCTGGTATTGTTGCTGACGTCAATACGATTCGGTCGTATCACACGCTGTGTGTAGTGAATAATGCTAACGAAATTAATTAAAATCAAGTCAACGAGAGATGAATACCCGCTTTTTTATTATTTATTTTCATCTTATTCATCAGGTCCTCGATATCAAATATTTGGTCTGTTTATTTGGAGGTTTTATTTTGGTTTGCGACACTCTCATGATTTCCATGACTACAAATTTACAATTCGATCCATTTTTATCGCAATAACAACCGAATATTTTTATACGACCTTCTCGCTGCAAATGGATAAAAATCATTGCAAGAAACCAATAGCGCGTTATCAATGGGTCCGACGGTCCGGATAGAAATCGATATTCTCTCTTTTTGGCCAAAAATAGAATTCATTGAAATTCATATTGTTTTCATACAGTTTTTTATGTATCCTTATGGTGAAGTGTTTTTCATCTCAAACAAAGTCATTCATGCTTCATTCATCCACTTGTTATTGTATTCTATCGAAATCAGTTCTTATGCTTGCTAATATCTAGAACGTGCCCGATCATTTTGCCGTTTTCCGGTTTTGACGTCATCATGATAAAAACTCAACGATTATGTATCAAATTGTATGTGTTACTAGACATTAAAATTAATCGAAGCGTTGATTACACGCAGATTATTGACAGTGACAACGAGAAGATTTTTGATCAATTTTTCCATGATGAGGAAATTGAAAAAGAAAACTAAATCGAAAAACGATGTTTGTTGTTTTTTTGTTTTCAGACCGCTCACGCTCTTTGAAGTGTAGAGCAAAACAATCAAAATATTTAGACAAAGCGACAGTGATGAATTTTCTGCCATAACACACGTTTTCATTTTATTTTTCAATCTGTTCACGTAATATAGCGAGGAAAAGAATTGAGCGATAAATTTGATTGTTCGTCGTCGAGACAGCTGGGTATATAATAGAGTAGCCAACGTGTTGTGTCGCACGCACGCTACACAACACATTCGGTCTCTCGACGACGTCATCATAATATTGTCGATTTTTCTTTTTTTCATTCGCTCTCTCTCATACCTCAAAAATTATCATTTTTTTCGTTTATATCCGTGTTACATTGTCAATTTTTTTTTTGTATTTATGGCTGGCTTTCAATCATTGACCACATTATACATCAATCAATATTTTGTGCGAGAAAAAATAACACATTTCTCAAACTATACACAAAATAACTATTCAAAACAATTGCGCAATGGTTGCTCATTTTGTTTATATGTCGAGTATGTTAGTTGTGTACATTGGTACCATCACAAATATTTGTCGAGTTCAAAATTCAATCGTTTTTGACAAAGTAAATAAAGCGTATGCGTCTCTGCATTTCAAATTTTTTTGTGGAGACCGAGCACATTATGTGTTATTCGGTAAATTCTCAATGTAGTCGATACAACGATAAATTAATTCATTTTATTCATGAAAATCGCCTCATACAGAAAAAGTTTGCAATGGCATGACAAAGATTTTTCAAATGTATTGAAACCTATTTCAAATATAGTCTACAATGCACAAATACGAAATATCCCTTCACGATCTCCCTTTACGAGTTCATAGAACTTCAATGCGCATTTTACTTTTCTTTGGGGGATTCATATTTAATTCAAACGATTCGATTATGAAAACTGACCAGATGTTCAGATGAATAGTTTGAAATTTTGTTCGAATATAAATTATTTATTAAGCAGAATTCCCGACAGAATTGTATGCCTAAAATAGACATACTTTCACAGAATCAATAAAATGGTGTCGATGTACACAAAGAAAATAACATTGGATGATTTCATAATTCGAAAACGTCTGGCGTCTCTCCCCTAACTCAGCTGTCAATATATACACAGGTTTGAAATCTGTTCGTTTTTTGTATTGAATTTATTCACTGGGCATATAACCTTTGGAAAAGGTTCTTCATTGAAAGAAAACAATGAAATTGGTTGCGTTCACCTTTAAAGTTGTAGCAAATAAAGTTAAATGACTACATAGTAATTGGCTGTAAACAAATTCTAGGATTTGTATGATATAATATACAAACCGCAGAATGAGTGCAATGTAAGCCTTATGTATACTTTTCAACAAATAGCGTTGAATTTCATCTCAGCGTTGAATCAAAATTGTTGCAATATCTGATGATTTGCAATGATTTCTCGCTGTATTCACCGAATTTTATATATTTTTGTACTTTTATCGTGTTTTGCTTTAGCAAGCGATGCAAAGCATCAATAAATATTGAAAAAAAAATTGCTGGCATCAACTGGTTATTAAGCCAATCTTGTGTTCGATCGACGACACAGACGATTGAATGAGCTTTGCTTGAATCTGGGAATTAAAATAATATACAAACGTTTGCCTAGAAAAATCTTAATGGAAAATCCCGTCGGTTTTGTTTACATTGTCGTTTTTGTTTCTTTCGATGGGTGATTTTCCATAATTAATTCGTGCTCAGATGACAAATTTTATAGAACAATAAAATTAACCGAATAACAAAAACGGAATGAATTTTAGTTGACGTTCTACGCGCGTGCATATCGTGTTTTGTTTGTGAGTTTGTTTATTCTCTATCATTAAATTGATTTAACTGAGCTTGAAAATGACGTCTCAAATTTAAATTAAATCTAACAAATGAGCATTGTTTTTAATTTTGTTGTTTTGTTTGTGGTTGAAGTTAAAGCTAAATCGTCATATAATAAAGCTTGTGTAATGCGTGGAGCTCTATTAGTGAACATTTGTTTTTATCACAATAATACAATCTATCATTCGGGATCTCACTCATCGAAAACCATTAGTCAAATCATCATCATATTGAACAAATTAGTAAACATAATTATGATTTTTTTCGAAATCATTTTAACTGAACACAGATTTAATCTTAATTATTTGCCAAGCATTTCTAAAATACACAGCAAAATCCTGTTTGATAGAAGTAAAATTTCTAACAAAATACTAACCGTCTAGAACCAACACATATATTTTGTGGAATTTTATTTGGGTCTGCATTGGGAGGCCATTTTAATGAGAGACCATAATAGAAAAATGGGAGTATCGTGGGTAAATATTTAATTCTACGAATGGTTTTATCCATCCACAGCCACACATTAAAGTGAGAAAAACCAATTCACATTTTAATAATAGCAGAGATACAACGAAGAAAAAGCAAAGTCAGCACTTTTGGCGATGAAAATTTTGAAGAAAGTAGAAAACAACCTTTCTTTTAATATCATCGTGGGAAGTTGTAACAATTTTATGTGGGTTTCAACTCACCCTATACAATCTATGTTTTATTGAGCGAACCCACTTTTTAGAACTTCACATGCGACTGATGTTTAAACACTTGTTTACTTTCGTACTGAAAATGGCTATAACACTCCGAGGAAACATTTGAACAGCGTGGTGATTACTTACTTTAAACAGATTTTTTGTAAATTCAACGAAACGAAATGATTTTAAGTAATACAGTTCAAAGTGTAATCTTACAAAAGCACACTGTTCAGTTTTGGAATTAATTTCGCTGAGTACCAAAAAAATGGAAAGAATTTTCCAGAAATAACACCAAACTTACATAATATTCTTGAACAGCTTCATTTCTCAATATTTTTAAAAAGTTTTTGAGAACGAAGAAAAACATTTTCAAAATTCATTTCAAACACTGAAGATGGAAAATTAAAGCAAAATTATGTTTGATTAATCGTTTTTTTTGTGTTTTCATATAAGCTAAAAATCTTTCCATTTGAGCGTGTTTTGACATTATGAGCATCTGAAAGAGGAAACCGACCATAAATCATCAACGGAAAATGAATGCTTTTTTACCGCTCATCTTCAGTCCATTTAATTTCCATCACAGTGAATCTAGCGCATACCACATTGCAACCGAAAACGTTTTATAAAAAATTTACATATTGATTGGCTTTGGTCTGGTATTCTTGTCGAATGTTTTAAAGTGTCATCTATTTTAGCCGTACCAGACATCTAAATATGGAATCTCGACATTTCTTTTCAACTTGAATTTGCGTGCAGTAAATAAGTGTCAGTGGCATATGGACATAAATGCTAGCAGAAATGTTGACCGTCAGAAAACTTTTATTTGGCTGAAGTTAATTTGATTCGAGGTAGGTCGCGGTTATGCATTCAATGTGTGGCATGCAAAGTTTTCCCTGAGTGATGGATCATTGAAAGTAGGACAAATGGAAATGGCTAATATTCACGTTGCTCATACGTAACACAGATCTCATTTATTCGTTCGTGAACGATTCGAATGGAACAGTGAAAAGGAACAAAGTGGGGAGGGGGGGAGAGGAATTGAGATGTTATACGTGAATCCCGTCTCATAAAGTAAGTGGCAGTATAATTCACAGTACAAACAAAATGTAGCAAATATCGATTGTATTGCATGTCATTGTAACAAGTTGTTCAACAATGACGTCATTGATTCCGCTTCACTATACATGATACAATGTTCTTGTGTCACTTCATTTCGACATCGTTTGTAAAACTCAAAATAGACAATGGGATGCTAGCAACATGCACGCCAAATATAACGTATACTATACAGTACGTTGTTGTTGTTGCCGATGGTAAATCGATAAAATATTTTCATCTTTTACATTTTGCAATAGACATCCATTTAGATTCAATCATCATTTGCCATGCGGCATAAGCGCGCTTAAAATTGAAAAAGGGAGCAGTCAATGCACCTTTAAGCCAAACAAAACCGAAACAACAACACATTGATTGAAAATAAATGTTTCAACACAACTGGGAATAAAACATGAAAAATGCATACAAACGCCGTAAAAATCGGAACGGAAACATCATTTATCGTTTTTATTTGGACAATCAAACAGTGTCGTACTTTTCGAGTTGAGGCAATCACTTTTGTGTAAACAATGTCTCGTTTTTCTCTCATCAGTGAATGAGCATCTTTTTGAAAATTGGTTTTCTTTCCTTTTTTTCCGCTCTATCCATACTTTCTTTTGTCATTCTTTTTCGAGCTTAAGAATAAACACTGAAGTTTTTCTTTACAATGTATAAAAATCCAACAAAGCTCATTTCGTATTCAATTTCAAGTTAATGAATTAAAATCAGAGTGTGGAAAGAAATTTGCATGTAAATCTAAAATTGGCGAAACTAACAAGAGTATGGTTTATAATTTAATCCGGAGATTGTACCAGTTTTTTTTTAAGGTTTTGGTGTCACTTGAAATAAATGAGCAGCACTAAATCAAATAAAGTCGAATTTTTGAAAATGCCAAAAATGATAAATGCCATACACGACGTTCTTTTTTTTTTGCGTTAGCAGTTCCATTTAAGTTTGGTGAATGTTCCATATCTCTAACAAAAGACTGAATGACTGACGAAATGCAATTGTAGCTAGAAAATGCTTTTTGTTTAATAATAACGAAAAGTGCTGTATCTGGAATATCGCAAGCCTTGACCGAAACCAAGGGTTTTTTGCATGCGTAACATATTTTGTTAACATTGCACATCAATTCAACTATTGTTTTTGATTTAAATGTCGATTGGACATGAAGCTTTTCAATTGACTGTATCCAAGAATCACAATAGATCCTTTTTGCATTCGTATCGCGGTGTGAATTTATTTCCATTTTCTTTGCATAACTTTGAGAAATGATTGATTCTACGACTTTGACTCGGTTTGACTCGACAAAAAAAAAAAGATACTGAATCGTTGTCGTCGGAGCGTGTGACTCGAACACTGTGTGTGGGTTTCATATTTATAGAAAGTGTATCATAAAAGCAAACGATAGTCAACTCACAATTTGAAACGGCACGGCGCAATAAGTGTACCGAACCATCGATAACAAAATAACTCTCGCACTCGCTCTTCGACACGTTCTGAATATACATACATATATTATATCTAATGGGGAAAAAAAATAATACGTACGAGATGGAAAATCGAAAGCCGAATCGTAGCTCAGTGTGCTTTTGTCGGTTTGCTTCGGTTCGGACATGTATCGCATGCACAGGCAAAGGCACTCTGGCAAATACATATAAACACTACGGATCCGGTGCGCGCATGGAGAAAATATTATAAATATAAGAAGTGTGGAAAAGCCGTGAGTCTGATCCATTTGTTGTTCAGCTATTGTGTGAAATGCTAGTGCTATTCATTTACTGCTTGCGTACGAGTTCGAATCGAAAAGCGATTGTGATTAGAGAGTGAATGTGAATCTAACGACGGCAACTTGATCAAGCATTGAATCAACACGGAATTAGTATCAAACAAATCCTTACCGAGTTCAGACGCTACATACAGCTGATTGCTCTACATAAAATTGATAACAAAATTTCTGGAAGAGATTTTTTTAAAACCAGATTCAAATTAGATTCGATAAAATCGACATTTAAGTGAATTGAAAGATCGAGAACAGCTTCCTCGATAAAGTTGTTTTTATTTGTCGTAAAATTCACAGAATTTAAAAAATAAACGGTGATAGATGATAAAATTGCGACTGATTGCTAAAAATAAATTGTCAAAAACCATTTTTCTATCATTCGCGGAAAATTTTTCATCTTTTGAAATGATTGAAGTGGACAGTGCAACACCTACAATATAAAAAGTTCAACGATTAAAAAGACTAGGATATCTTTTTCAGACGAACATTCAAACAAAAGCCTTTAAAATGTAAACGACTCGCTTTGATTTTCCTGCAAAAAAAAAACAACAACAACAACATCGCTTATGAAATAAACAGAATCAAAGAATAGCTGATGAAAACGCAATTTCGAATTTATTTTCGACATTTTGGCCAAACTGGTATTTATTTACGCAGGTGGAAATCCGCACCTAGAATAAATAACAAACCAATCAAACGCAATCTAAACAAAAAAAATTTCAATTGTTTACAAAATGCACATCTGAACAAAAAGCCCATTGTCTACTGTTATTGTTGTGCGTTAGTTCGAAATACAAAGTAAAAAAAAACGGTGTACATTGAAAGACAAAAGAAAACAAAAACACGCAAACAAAATTAGATGTTGATATTATCCCTGATAGGATTATTTTTAACGTCATATAATTAATTTTGAAAATCGGAAAAGAAACAAACAAATCATCTGCTTTAACCCGAACGACATAAGATTGTGGGACCAAACGAAAACAACAACCAACAACAAAAAACGGCGAGTAGCTGAACAATTTTAAACGACGTGACTTCTTTTTTTGGGAAACAAATTATTGATCACTCATCACTCAATTTATGCTCGAGCCAATTGAACTTTGACCAAGTTTAGACACAAACACGCACATGTTTTGGTGAACACCGAAGGAGCCATTGATTGAAAATAGATTAGTGTAAAATTGTATTGCGTTTATTGCACAGTTTCGTACATATCGCGAATGCCATAACAATTCTGATTTAATTGTACGGAAAACGGAAAGCGCAAGAGACAAGAAAATTGTGAATGAAACGAGTCAATTTCGAAAAGCGCGTAAATTTCCTTAAAGTTCAACGAAAGAAAATCAGTTCATCGTGAATTCCATGTACTACATCTTGAGACGAATACCATTTTTAGGTAAGTAAAATGAAAGTGCATCACATTAACCAATCTCAATCAGGCTAATGAAATGCATTCCATTTTAAAGCCATTGCTTATGGTTTGGATGTGATTTGGTCTCTCTTTTAATTAAATTGATTTCAAACGTACCTCCCATAAATTCTCTCCTTTTCTCTATCTCACTCTCTCGCTCGCTCTACATTCTCCATTCTGAAAATCAAATTAAAATTCTTTGAAGCATTCGTTTACTGCTGCAATAAATGAAGCACACATATAACAATAAAAAGCCATTTTCAGGACATGATTTTCCTGTTCTAAAGTTAAAGTAATGCACTTTTTATCGACTAACTAAATTAGTCTGCGAGTGAGTGGAAAAAAGAGAGAATGAGAGAGAGAGAGAGAGAGAGAGAGAAAGAGTGAGCAAGGGTTTGAAACAAGAGGTCGATATTCCCATAAAATTCATTGCCAAATAGATAAATGTTGGCTGGTAAAGATGGTTGTTAGTGGCAAGGCATTCTGTGCAGAAAGGGTAATAAAACGATGAAAATCAAATAAAAACACAAATTGGCATCAAACAAACTGAATAAAAAACAAGTCCCGTCAGCCAACATGCATGCCAAATAAATTATCTCTTGTGGCTTTCTCCAAGCACAGTTATTTTATGAATGGCTGTTATGCCGTTTGTGTTTTTTCCTCTGTACGGCAACGCAGCCGTGCAAATCGTAAACATGTTTACGTGTATTTGTCGATAATGTGAGGACTATTTTGTTGAAATGTCTGATTTTATTGTACACTTCACGCAGTACTTAATGTCAAACGCTTGCTTTGTTCGCGCCAAAGATTCTCTTTTATTCCATAGTTGTCAACGAACAAACGATAGCAATTATGACCGGAAAAAAAAGTTGAATAAATTTGATGCATTGAGCTTCACGCGTTGAGGATAAGAACATCTGCTTGTGCTTATACAAAAAACATGTAAAAGTATTAAGTCACTTCACAACAATTTAACGCTCATCCTTTTGTTTTTCAATTAATTTCCATCGTCCTATTTTCGGCTTCTATTCATTTTAAGTGCAAATTAAACGATTATCAGCATTCGCATACAAACACTAAACTGAAGCACACATTTCTGACAAAATGAAATGAACTTGGAACTTACTTTCAACTATCATAAAACAAAGCCCAAAGCAATAATTTGTTTCGTGATGCTTGAAGAAGCTCTTTATGTTTTACACTAAATTACAAACACGAGCAACACAACAAAAGAAGAAGAAGGGTAGGACCGTTTACGTAGATAGAGCTTTTAAAGAAGACCTGGAGTTACAAATAACCGACAAAAACCTCACACACTCTAACGAAATAAAGTTCAAGTGTTGCATAAATTGTCTACGTAGCTCGGTTCATTTCGAGAGAGAGTTTCGAAAATTGTATTCGAAGTAAGTTCGTTGAGCCAACACAACCCCGGATACGTGGGTTTGTGTCTCGCTTTGTGTGTGTTTGTGTTAATACATCCTGCTGCGTAGTTTCAACAAACGTTAAATGTTTGTGTATGTCATTTAAATAACTTCGATATTCAAATCTGCTGATATCAGCATAGCAATAAGCCCGTTACTGCTATGTGCTTTCAGAGAAAGGAACACGTTCGTTACTCGTTCAATCCACGAAGTAAATGACGTAAATGGAAAATTATCATTTTAATTTTAAATTCCATGATAAGAATCTCACTCTCTCGATGTGTTTGGCATGGCAATAATCAACATTTGAACGAGCAAGCTGAGCAACAACTTTGTCAATTGGCCAAATTTAGCGTTTGTCTCATTCATCTGTTATCAAATGGGCGTGAATAAATTTTCTGTGCAAATTAAATCACTACCAATTTCTCAACCCATTTGAAGACGTGAGAAAAGTCAAGAAATTTGTGTAAGAAAATTTAACCCTTCTTCGAGTAGCGTTAATAGACAAAAAGTTGAAAAATAGATCTTTTACCATTTATTAGAAGACGGAAATTTCTGTAGATTTTGTAACTTTGTCCTTTATGTTTGTTAAAAAATTTCGATTTTGAGTCAAAAATAAGAAAAATCTACCAACATTGATGGGTTAATGCAAATTTCTAAGCGAAAAACCAATCTTCATATACAACCAGATTCATACAAAATTAATTGGTCTCTGGGATTGTTCGATACTTGTGGAGCCATTTATATTAATCTTTGGGGTTTTCAATGCGCATTTAATCAGATTTTCTTTTGACATTACATTTTGAAACTTTAAAATGCAAAAACCCAACAAGTCTCCTTGGTTCTTATCACGACTGGCTGCGTCAAATTGTCCTTTACTTAATTTTCAATCGATCAACTCGTTTTTTTTTCGTTTTGTTGAAAAATGTGCTTGTCCATGTTCTTTAGCAATTGACAATTTAATTTATTTAAGAACAAATAAGGAAAAAAATGGAATTTTTCAATATTTCGTGGAACAATAAGCTCAACTTCAACTGTAATTGACAGCGGATTGTAGAACCGTTTTCTTGTATTTCTCCATTATTGTATCTGTCAAGTATCGCTATTCGAGGTGAATTGCAATGGAAAGATCAAAAAAATTATCAATAAGATAGAATCACATTTTCTCCATGAACTTATCGGATGCAGCAAGATTGTAGCGCCAAGTCGAGCATATCCAATATCAAGGTAAAGAGAAATTGAGACATTTTAAGAGGATCAAAATGTGAAACTCTTGAAACTTTTTTTCGCTTTTTTTCTCTGTCTAGTAATCATCGTTTAATATTCAATGTCAAGATTGAATATAACTATAGACTTTCCAATCATCCACGCCAAGCACTGGCTCTAAGCCATCAATCGCACATCGTTCGGCTCAATTAGTTTCGATTAAAATGCAGTGAATAAAACCAACCATTTTTTTGGTCGTTGTTATTTTTGTCTTTTTATCTCTCTATCTCAGAGCGTCTCGACACACTGTCGTAAATCGCATTAATTTCCACCACATATCTCTTTTTCTCCCGATCGTTCGCTCGTCAGTATTTCGAGTGGAAAACCGCATATATCAAAAAAATGTGTATAAATCAGATTGATGGTTTCCGTCGGTGTATGTGTACTGATTAGAAAATCGGTTGAAATGAGCAAAAACTTGACTAATTGCTTGCCGTTTGACGTATTAATGATAAACATGTTGAAATTAAGCAGATGTATGTTACAGCGCCAATAAAAAGCACGTGCTACTTGCCACTTTTTCTTCGTGTTTAATTTGATTCAATATGGCTCGAAGAATTCGGGCATCCGTATTGCTTTTTGCAATCAAAAACTTACCACATTTTTGGCGCTACACACCAAATTTATGTTCATTCACTAATTATGCATGTAAACAACAGTTCGATTCGACAAAAGAAATGAAATGTATATGCGTTGAAAGTGAATATTTCGACTTGTTTGAGTTCATCATTTGTAATTTCATGGTAAATGCCCAAGAGTCAATAAAATGCCAAAACTTTTTCATCATTCAAATAAATTATGTAATTATAATCAATGTTACTAAGTGTAAATGATGTGTATTTTAGTTTGTATACAACGGTCTTTATGTGGAAAGTCTGAACACTGCAGACAAAACATATTCAATGTTCAGTGAATGAACAACGGATTTATTTCGTCAGAGACAAATGTTTACAATTATCGATGGCAAAAATAAACCATCTTTGGTGTTCGGCCAAAATAAGTATTAGGTATTATCAAGTAGATGTTGTATAATCAAGCAAAAACACGACAGAGATATAAAAAGCCATGGCACAGACAAAATTATCGCTCAATAATGAAGATGTTTCATCCAATTTCCATTTATTTATGTTGAATGAACTGCCAATTGAATGTATTTCGAATGCTTACATTGATACCCATTTCAATTTGCGATGATATAAGATTGCATTAAGCAAAATCAACAAAATCATCACAATTAACACTCCAAACATTCAATTTCGTGCTTGAATATCAATGAATAAATTCGCATGTTTTTTTTGGGATATTATTGCTTCAATCACAATCAGGCTTACTTCTTCGATGCAAAAAAATGGATTATTTCATTTCTCCATTTTCTCTTTTCTCTTCAATTTCTCTTCTTCAATATCTTGATCATAATTTTTTCTGTGTTTGATGAAAATGTAACAATGATTATGGCAACAAATGGTGAAGAAATGTTATTCTAAAAATAATATTTAATCAGGGGGTAAAGCATACACGATGAAAGAAAGATATAAATGAATCAGTAGGTTGAAACTGACTAATTAAAGAAGAAATTGTAATAGTAGATTTAAAGCTGAATTTGTAACTAAATACATCGAAAAAAAATCAGTGACACAAGAGCGCCTTTGGGGCGTTCAAAAGGGTAAGAATTGGCACTCATTTGATTATGTAAGTCAAGCTTGTAATAATTTTACAAATGCATTCGTTAAAGTGATTCGAAAGGGTAGTGATTATAATGAAAAGATGAGTTAGTATGGTCATGTGAACAGGCCAGACAAATTGTACAAAGTACCCACTATCATCGTCATCGTTATGTGATTCACATACTGAATGAAAAACATTCATTTTTATCTATTCATATCATGGTTGGGATTCTTATAACTTTATTCATAACACGTAGGTATTGGCACAGCGATGAAAGGACAAATTTTCGAAACGCTTTTTTTCCATGGCGTTGAACTTTTACAGTGTCACTGTAACAGTCGTTTGTGATTTGCACATTGTCACTCATCCATGCTGAATACGATGTTCATTTGTGTGGTTTTTCCATGTTTAAGCACAACATAACTTACTTCTTACGCGACAGCGACGGGAAAAATATTTCTTTCGACATTTCCTAGCGAGAAAAAGCGATTATTTTCATCACTATTATTGAAGAGAGTGGTCGCAAGCATAAGCATAACTGTCAATTTGACATTGTCAACGTCCTTTAATGATACACTTCAGAACTGCTATCATGAACTATAAGGAGCGGATATATTTAGAATAATCGTGCTT